CTGATGTCGCAATTTCTAAAAAAAAAAAAATTGTCAGTTTTTATTGCCACTACTGTATATGGTCGGATATTTATGGCAAGGCACTGTACATGTTGTGATGACGATGATGACGGCGGACCCGACACTTCTGCGTGGAAAATCTCTTTATCATCAAAGACCCGAACGCCTTACAGGATTGGTTGGGAATAATTAAGGAGCCGTTGTAGAATGATAAGGTTAAAAGGTGGAATTACAGATAAACATTCATTGCACACCTTTCGCATCCACCTTGACAATGTCTAATTTCGATGCAGGTGAATGTGTCTCGATCCAGTCAAAATGCAAATTTCCAAACGTAGATTCGTAAAATTTAAATAGCGAAGAAACATTTTGCACAATGTATTTTCTTTCCCCTATTTTTCTTGATATATTAGGAAATATATCTACTAGGTTATAGCTATAATCAAGGAGGGAAGGTTATTAAGCGTCTAATCATCCGGAGAACGGCAATAAGTGACAAAAAAGAACTCACAAGTCCATTAGTATTTTTTCGCAGTAAAGGCGAAATTTGTTGCCTTCATCACCCTTAATTTTTTGCAAAATCTCCACCTTAAACCCATCTTCTGATTTCTGTAAATGGATAGCAAAGTTGTTACCTTCCAGTACAACACTAACTACTGATATCTGTGGAAAACACACCTTCAAAACATTGTCGACATAAGAATTTAGAGATTCCGTCCACAAAGAAGGCCTCTGCATATTAACCTGACTGCACTCCAATGACTGCTCCATAGCGTCGAGATATCTAGCATACAATAAAATAATCAAGTTAATTAAGTTGTTCTAAATTAGAAGCATTCCGTGAATACGAACTCACTGAATAACTTTCTCGTCAGACATCTGACGTTTATTCGTTGTATCAAGAGTATCATGTTCGGAGATGGAGGTGTTTGTGTTTCTCTCTGAAGTCTTTGACTGGGTGAAGGTGATTGTGTTCCTCTCTGGGATTTTTGACTAATTGTATTGTTTAATGCCACATACAGTATTTCGCATTTTCAAAAATGTATCCTAATCAACCACATAAAGTCGCCGGTGACTCAGACATTTTGATTACTTTCAAAAAAGAGAAAAACATATTCCAAAGAAATAAAATAAACCCACCTCAGCGAGTTCATTATGTTTGCGCTTCATTCGTAAATGTGTTCCTAATCTTTTGCTTTCATGAAAAAACTCGTAACATGCGTTCGAAACGGTCTGTCCTTTCCATGTCTTTGATAGATCCAAGATTGGCT